CGCTTATTGAATAGCTACATTTTCATTTTTAATTGCAGGCAAGGCGGGGAAAAAAAAAAAAATTAGGGTGGGGAATAACAACGAGAAAGGCGCCACTCACAGGACTTCGCATAGAAAACTCCTTTGCTCTCGTCTATGAGGTGTGGCGGAGTTGGGGCCAAGGCACCACGCACACCGCTAAGGGGAGGCCGTGCGGAACGTGGGGGGACAAAAGGGAAAGCGGGCCCGCAAAAGGCCTGAGGGGGAAACCAACTCCAGAATAAACAGCGGATGGGAAATGCGAAGGCTAACAACAACAACAACAACAACAACAACAAAAAGATGTGAGGGAAAATTACGCAAGGAACCGAAGCAACGAAACGTGAAGAAGGACCCTTTTCTTTTTTGGAAAGCAAACAAAAGACACATTGCAGGGGGGAGATGGCTAGCCCCCCATCCCACGAGGGCCGCAATCAGCTGGACGCGACCCTACGAGGAGGCATCTCCCAAATACAAAGTGTGACGAACGTAACGGCAAAAGCAATCAAACACGTATGCGGGGAGTGGAAGGCAGTGAAGTACCGCATCCTCCGCTCGTCACTCGCGTGCCTCCCAGTACAGAAACCACCTGCATAGGTGCACGGATTTCAACGTGCACATTGCCCGTGCTCGCACCACTGACGTTATTACCGCTTCCATTCTTGTTACGGTTGATATAGTTGTCCTCATGGCTCTTTAGCAGGCCCAATCTCCTGCGTTTTTCTAGTTCCTTCTTCTTGTATATTCCTTTCATTTACGCTCCTTCCGCCCCTCCCATCATTCCTCTTCATGACTCCTTGTTTCGTGGCAGATTCCAAGTCACGCGTCATCCTTTTCTTTCCACTGTGTACTTACGAAGCCTTGTCCCCTCACTCTCACCCCCCGGGGGCCGCCGCGCTGCATCGCCTGCCTTCTACCACAATCTGCCTCTCATATATATATATATTTGCTTTATCCCTCCCTGCTCCTCTCCTCCTTACTCAAACCTTGCTCACATTCGCCCTCTCAGACGTCATTTCCCTCTCCGCTGCCGGTCCTTGGCTTGCTTCTTTTTATCCGGTCCACGCACCTTCTCTGCCGCATCCCCTCTTCCTTCGCGCAATTTACTCCTCTAACACCCGCCCTCCCCCGACTCCTCCTCATTCGGGTCACATCTGTCACATGTTTCCGAGCTCTATTGATAGAACTTGGGCTTCTTCACCGATGGCTTGAGGATCTGGAATGAACAGAGAAGGTCCGCGTCCACCGACATGACCGCACCACTGTTATCAAACTCATTACAATAGTTGGGGGCAGAAAAAATAGTTATGAGTTGCCGCTTCGCGAAGAATTGATAGCCATCCTCTACTACTTGATGTGCTCGGACGATAAGGTCGAACTCATGCTTCCGAAGAAATTTCTCTACGATATCTTGACCGAATGTGTAGGAGACGCCGCGGTCATTCTCGCCCCAGCCAGAAAGGCCTTCCTCGGGGTCTGACCAAAGCAGGTCACAGATGAGGCCCGCATCCGTGACATCGCAAGGTCGTGCAATCCGCTTGATCTGGTCCATGCTTTGCAGCTCTGGAGAAAGGCCTCCGTGACAGCAAAATATCTTGTCGTCAATGATGCAAGCAACAGGGAGACAATTAAACGTGTCCGTAAAGGCTTTCCACAGACGGATGTTGTAGCGCCGTTTGCATTCGTCAAAAAAGCCGTAGATGCGATTGATGCTTGCACACTCGTGGTTGCCGCGGAGCACAAAAAAGTTCTCCGGAAACTTGACCTTGAATGCGAGCACGAGACAGATGGTTTCCAGCCCTTGTTTGCCGCGGTCTACGTAGTCGCCGAGGAAGAGGTAATTGACCGAAGGCGGAAAGCCGCCGTTGTCAAAGAGGCGGAGGAGGTCATAGTACTGCCCGTGAATATCCCCACAGATTTTAATGGGGGCCTCAAGCTCCAGAAGGGCAGGCTGCGCCAGAAGAATCTCTCGGCTTCGCAGCGCAAGGTTCTTGACGTCATTCTCGGCTAAATTAACTTGTTTTCCCGGCTTCGATACGCGGACCGCCAGAAGTTTTTCGATGATGGCATCCACGTCTAGAGACATGACAAGCGCCGCTATTTCCTCCGCCTTGATGTAATGTCTCTTCCTCTCACCCCCGCGGCTTATTCCCTAATATAACCTTCTTCTTGGCGTTGTCTGTCGTCGTGCTCCTTCCTCTTCTTGGACTTTCCTCGTCGCCGCGGTGCGCCAATGACTCACTCTCCCCCTCGCCCTTTCCCTGGCACACACACACGCACAAGCTCTCCCTCCCTGCCGTTTCCTATCCCCCTCGATTTAACTCCTTCACTTCGGCCTCAGCAAACGTGGAGCCACAACGGCCTTTCCCAAAACAAGAAGGGCGGCGTCTGCCTCGCGCTTCCTGGCTTCTCCTCCCGCGTTGGCCCTTTGTCTTCTAATCTCCCTCTCGCTCCCTCCTCCCCCTTTATCCCGTTTCACGTAATAAACAAGGGACAGGCACACGAGCCGCTTGCTTGTCGCCTCCCACGCCTGCTCAATCAGTTGGTGGGTGTTCGCTCGTCTGCAGGCACGAAGGCGGGTAGCTCTGCTTGCCGCAAAGGAAAAACAAAAGGGAAACTGTAATGTGGACTACGCAAGGAATACCAATGAGAGAAGAAAAAAAAAAGGAGAATAAAGGGAAAGAAAGGTAGAGGCAATGCTTACAGTCATAAGTTACGCGGTGCACAACGGCGCAGAGACATGGAGGTGTGTTGGTTCGACACGCGCCCCCGTCGACCCCCCGCGTTCTCCTCTGGGAAACGAAGCAAACATCCCCGCCTCTTCTCCGCTTTGCGCCTGTGGTTTCGGGGGCCGCGATGGATGCGTCCCGGGCATCAGTAACCTCATGTAAGAAAAGACGTCTCAGGCAATGCAAGAAAGAGAAAGAGAGAGAGAGAGATAAACAAAAAAAAACATACACACAGCCACAAGGAACTACCCACAAAAGGGCCCAAAAACGGCGATTTGGCACACACACAAACAAACAAACAAACAAACGCACGTTCTCTCTCTCTCGCGCGCGCCCTGGCTCCTTAACGCGTCTGCTCCCCCGGTTGCTCGCTGCAGTCTGAAGCAGGGAGGGGTGGAGGGCCCAAGTGGTTCTTTTAACCTGCATCCCAACTATACTGTTTCGTCCACGCCGCTGGCCTCCTCCCTATCCTCCTCGCAGCTCATGTCACCCGTGATGCAGCGCTCCAGCATGACGGCAGAGGTTCCATGCAGGCTCACCGCAAATCGCAGTGGAGGCGTGGGCGAAGGCCACTCCGCCTCGTAGGCCTTCACGGTGCCGCACAGGAACGCAATCTTCGCTGAGGAGCCTGGCGTAAACGCCACACGCACTGTGACAAGGTCGTGACTCTTAAATCCCGTTCCCGACACGTATGTCTTCTCGTCATCGAAGCACTGCACGAGCTCACCTGTGTTGCAGTACGCAATGGAGCGCGGCTGGCCCTGCAGCGGCTCGTTCTCAAGCGGTGAGTCTGTGCCGATGAGACCAACCGTCACCAGCTCACACTTGTCTACACGCAGAACAAAAACGGACCTTCCTCTTGCAGGCAACGGCTCCTTGCCGCAAATGCCGAGGATGTTCTGCGTGCTGAAGTGCATACTGTCCTGCGAAACGCCCGGCCCACTCACAAACCGCCACCGCGCCGGAGGGTCGATCAAGGCCCGCAGCTTTTCAATACGGTAGAACTCGGCATCCTCCGCCAAAAAGACGACCTTTTCAGTGGCGTTCGGCAGTTCGTAGCCGCGCAGGTAATTGACGATGTGCCGAAAGTTCTCGGGGTCACGGTCCACGAAAGGATTGCCCTTGGCGTCCCGGGGGAGACCGGCGAAGTTGCTGTTGACCCACTCTGACAGCAGCGACGGCTCCGCGCAGAGCGTGCTGGCCAGCGTCGTGATGCAGCTACCGCCCACGTTGACACAAACGCGCGTGTCCCGGGGGGCGGAGGGGACGAGGGACGACTGCCCATCGGGCCTGGCGTCATCGGTTTCGACGGCTTCCCGCGCCCTCGCCGCTTGGCCAACGTCGGCGCCCCCCCGGAATCGTTTCAAAGGGGGCTCCCCCTCCATACGGCCTTCGTTTACTCTTACGCGGCAAAAGAGCAGACGCGATACAAGAGAGCTCGAAAAAGCAAGAGCAAGAGAAAAAGAAAAAGAAGAGGAAAAAATACATGTTGTAATGTAAAGTCCGCATGGACCAGCCAATTCCTCCAAGGTTCTTGAATAAGCAATTATATATATTATTCAAAATAACACCCATTTCAACTGCGGTGATATCTGTAATGTCTGTATAGCCAACGGCACGCAACTGGTTACGCAAATTTGGTGCACACGCTAAAGGTCGTCCGCCAACTGCAGGCAATCTTCGTCACTGTCCACACCGGAGGGAATGATGAACTCTGTAGGGGCGGGGTTTGCAGCTTCTGGTGCGACCGACCCAATACACTGCTCGCGCGCCCTCTCGTGGGCCACCCCACGAACCGTGTCCTGGCACCAGTTGGACACGACTTCCTCTTGGTGGGGCGGAAGATCCATAAACAAAGATGCCGACGACGCAAGTCCCACTGCAGTTCTTTGACCGCTCTCTGGTGGTCCCTCCGGCAGCATGAGGGCGGCGAGGTGCTCCAAGCAGACAATTAACACCGGCCGTAGCAGTGTCGAGGTTACAAGCACAGTGACATCACTGAGGAGGAGCAACGCCCCTGCGGCCAAGACGTCGGGGTACCGGCTCGATACGGCGCCGTGGATGGCGCAGTGCACCGTGCCCGTCGCATCCCGCAGCAGCACCGTACAATCCTGCGCAGACTCCGCCACGATTTTCTCAAGAAGACCGCCGCAGCAAGCCACCTTCTGTGATGTGGGCAGGGCACTAACTTGGCAGAGCGGCGTCAACGTGTAACCCTTCGCTGAGGCTTCTCGCTGAAGCAACAGCTGAGAGTCCATGCAACACACCTGTCTGCGAAGCCTGGGTCTGGCCCACCTGCCCACCTCGCTTCTCCCGCTGTGTCCCCTGCTTCTTCTCGCCTGCGCCGTGGGACACCCAAAAAGGAAAAGAAGAAAAAATCATAGGGAGGCCCGGCGCCCAAAACGACACCAAACGACGACGACGACGACGACGACGACGATCAACCGCCATCATCAACAGTACGCAAGAGGACGGGGGACAACAAGAAGAAGGAGGAAGATAAATATACGAGAAAGTTCAGTTTCCTCCTCGTCTGCCTTCGTTATCGCTGCTCCTGTTGCTTCCCCTCGTACTGTAGGGATCCTGGATCAAAGTGCGTGGTGGACACTCCCGCCTCCTCAAGGACACGTCATCCGCAGGGCCCCCAAACATTTGGCAAAAAAATTTTCCTTCCCCTTTGATTTAATTTCCCCTTTTCTTTTTGTTTTCTTTTGCTATATGGCCCTCTCCCCTCCCTTCACCTTCTTCATGTTTCTACCTTAGGAGCGTTCGGCCTCAGATGCCGGCTCACACACGCAACTGAGCGTAGAGTGCAAAAAGGGCCGCCGCCGCAAGGGCCAAGCGAACACCGCAGAAGGTCCACCTGTCGAGTGACGCATTGCTGCACAGCATGCACATGACGGAGTGCACAAGAAGTGAGAGACCAAGCACAAATGCGGGGTAGACGCCCATCACGAGGCCCACGATCGCCGTTACGGCAAAGAGCGCCATGAACGCTGATTCAAGCGACGAAAGCGACGTGGCCACCTCACCAGTGCGAGCAATGTCAATGAGATGTTGCAGCTCTTCTTCCTTTATCGCGGCCCTCGTGTGACGGTGTGCAATCATCCTCTTCACGTGCTCCAAGGTCAGCGCATCTCGCTCTTCCTGCTCACTCTGTGCAAATGCTTCTATGATGGATTTGGCAAACCAAGCGACCGCGGCCACCACAATCCAATGCAACAGCGTCATAACGAGCGAACCTCCTTCCTCCTCTACAGCAATTTTTTCAGTCCCTCGCGCCCTGGCCGCAATCGTTTCACGTGCTTTTAATATCGGGGCAATACACATCTCTACTATGCCCTTGGTGCCCTTCGAGCCTGCCCACGCGGGAAGGACCAAAACCTTACCCAGTGCACCAACCACGAGACGTATGATACGCTCAATATTGTCACCGGAGAAGAGCAGAACGAAAAAACAGCTTGCATATTGACCTTAATCAGCGCCTTGCCAACGAACGTTGCCCCGAAAAAGGTCCAGAATGGCATAAGAAACTGACCACATGCCATCCCGCACAGGTCAAAGGCCATGTTGGGCCAGGCAGCAAGAAGGAGTATGGCCCAGAAACCGTAGCGTTGTATTTTATCCAATGTCCATGTCTTCATACGATTCAACACGTCATACTTAGAGACCTCCTCCAGCTCCGCGTGTCGCTTACCCTGTCGGGCGGCGGCGTAGCTCAAGGCATACGGTGGAATCTCCCCGATTGCGGTTCCCGCACCCCAAAGAACACACGCGGGAATCACCTTCAACAGACGCGCCAGAGTCGAGGGAACTGATGTGCCCGGATGGGGTGTGACACACATAAATGTGCGATCGCGTGGCCCATAAAAACGGTTCACAGGGTACGTCCAATAGTTGGTGTTGCCGCAATAATCCGCAGAGGAACAGGCAAGATAAATATGTGGAAAGAGGAAGAGCAATCCCGAATGCATTCCTGTGCCCAATCCAACAGAGGAAAGTATACCCAGAACCAACCACCATATGGCATCGGCAAGCAGATACTCCACCTCTCGCCAAGTTCCTTGACTAAAAAAGGCATCTCGCCGCAGCACATCACCTTGGCCTTCCTCCCACCATCCCACAAACTGGGCCTTATTGAGGTGGGAAGCATTATTAGGAAAGGCAGCCTGAGCCTGTTGTGCGATACCCGTCGGATGGCCCAAGACACGGGTGTAGTAGACCTCTAGATCCTCCGGTGAGACTAGGCCATCTTTGTCCGAGTCAAGAGCGGCAAACGCATGACCAGCAGGGGAATCGACCCAAAAAAGGGACATTGCAGCCATGAATAGAAATACAGGAACGGCAAACTGAAGCACGGACGGAGTTAAATGTGCCGTCACATAGCGTGTCATGTACTTCACGCACATGACAAGCGACAGCCGAAGCACCCTTAGCGGTTCACGTAGAAGGTTAATTTCTTCTCGCTCATTGGCCAAAATAGCCTCGGCACGTTCCATTTACCAAAATTTCGCCCCTTCTTCCTTTTCTATTCCTTGAATGACTTCTATCCATCAATTTGTAGCCCCCGTGGAATTGAGGGGTGAGATGAGTGAGAAAGTAATATCTATCGATCGACGGCCGCAGTGCTGCGTCCAAGAGGCATCAGAATATCGCGCGGAAGATCCAACACCAACAAATGCCATTTCAGAACAAAAGGCGATGCATCAGAATTAACCGTGGAATTTTCTTCAAGTGTGCATATGTATATAACACCTTTCTTTCCCTCTTTATTTTTCTTTCTTTTCGGCTTCCTCATCTTTCATTCCTTCCTTCTTTTTTAACTAATTAGTGTAATTCTCTTATTATAACCTTCCTCCTCCTTGCTGCTACGCAGTATTACATACAAAGTAGAAAACGCGGAAGCGAAGGCCAGCCCCAACCACTCACTGGTACAACCCGAGTATTTGGTGACTTGGCTTCCTCCTTCTTCAAGTTCGCCTCGACACCTTGTTCCGCTAAAACCGAACACTCTGCGTGACCTTCGACTTAATGGAGGGCACACCAATGAAGCCGCCTTCGGGCTCAGGCTGGAAGGTGCGTGTCTGGGCCTTGTGGATGCGCATACCCTTCTCGTATTTGCGTCGCTGCGCCGTGCGGGGCGTCTTGCGATCCTTCGGGCGAGACTTGGTGAGGCCACGGTGGGTCTCGATCTTCTTGCTCGTCTTACGGCGGTCCACTTCAGGCTCCGCCAACTGTGGCTTCGGCCGCGACGCCTCTGTCCTTGCACGCTTCAGTCTTTCCTGCTCCTCCTCTAACAGCACCTCGTAGTCACCCTCCTCCCCGTCCTCGCCCTCGCTGAGGAGATCATCCTCGCCGCTGATGGCCTCCTCGTCGTCGTCCTCAACCATGACGCCACCATCCTCACCTTCACCGTCGCTACCGTCGGGATTTCCTGCCACTTCGTCGGCGAGTGAGCGCTGCCGCCGTCGGAGGCGCTCAATGAGTGACAGTCCCTGAACCTCCTCATCCTCGTCGCTACCAGCCGCAAGCTTGGCAAAGTACTGATCTTCGTCCTCGCGGTAGCCGAGAGCCGACACCATCGCCTTGCGGTCAAGGGAGGAAATGTCGTCAAGCGCGGCAGACTTCTTTGTTCGGATGCGATTCATGGTGGCCAACTCTTCCTTTTCAATTTCCTCCGCCTCCTTCATCGCTTCCAGCTGCTTGCGGTTCTTCCGCGCCTCCTTGTTCGCCGCAAGGGCACCACGCTCGTTGTGCTGAAGCGGGCGCAGGGTGTCCAGGCGAGCCGCAGCCGTTGTTTTACCGCTAAGAAGACGATTCAACGAGTACTGCAGCTTCTCCTCGAGTGGGAAGAGTTTTTCAAGGTAAACACGAATCTCCACCAGGTTATCAATAACAGGGTGCCCCAAGACCTTCTTGCCCTCCGTCTTAAGCAGCAAGTAAAAGGTGACGTGCATGCAGTAGCTGAGCATCAACTGCACCTTGGTCTCTAGGAATTGGACCAGGTTGCGATCTGCGTCGGACAATCGACGCTGAAAGAATAACTCTTGCAAAGGCTTCGCTAACTCCTTAACTTCTGTCAGGTACTGCTTCATCTCCTCCAGCATCTTGATCAGTTCTGGAGACTCCTTTTTGCACAATGGACATCCGCTCCGAGGAGGAGAGGGCGGCGTAGTCACGTTCCACGGCCTCAACGACAGGCGCAACATTGAGCGCGGCGTTTGCCTCTCCATTTCTCTTTCGCTTTACAGCCGTCGTGATGCCGCCAACCTCAAAGTCCGACTCAATCACCCTCCGTCGCATGCTCTTGTTGGCCTCCAGCGCAAGGGCCTCCTCCTCCAAGTGCGCACCCCGCTCGTCATCGTCGTCGTCGTAGCCCTCCAACTTATGGGCGTCGGAGGGCAACACGGCCGCCAGGCCGTCGTGCTCGTCCCTCCTCGCCTTTCCACGACGGTTGTGGACGACGTCCTCGTCCTCCACGTTGTAGTCGTCCACGTCTAAATCGAGGTCCTCGACGATCTCTTCCGCCTCGGCCTCCCGCCGCTTGGAGCGCTTCTTGAGGGAGTTTTTCTTCGGCATCGGCCTAAAAGGTCTCTCGCTGTTGGGACTACGCAGTTTGCAACAAGAAGCCAAGGACCCGTAAAGTAATACCACAGAGAATAGGAGGAAAGTAAAAAAAAAAAGACATGCATAGACGCACACAAACGAAAAAACGGAGTGCCCCAAAGAAGATACAACCGCAGCATGTGTGCCAGTAATGCATAGCACTTTTCTGTGCATATCAAAGTGATAAGTAGAGGGATAGAGGGTGAAAGACCAATTCGCGAGCTGGATTCATTGGAATCAGCAGAGAATCTTGTGAGTTAGCCCCACAACTCGGCCGCGTCTACAGCAGGGCCGTAGACACCACGACTAGAAACCCCTTGCTCCCGACACCATCGGCCACGGACGCGCTGTAGCTTCATATACCAGCCCCAAAATTCTAAGGTTTTCATCTCTTCCACCTTTCTCCTGTCGCTACGCATCTTTTTTGCGGTGTCAATCTTCTTCTCACTTGCGTGCTCAAACACAACGCGGGGAGTCATTGGCATGACCGGCAAATGAAGTGATTCCCTCTGAGGCTTTGGGTGGTTTGCCAAAATCTTGTGGACGTCACTGAAGCCTTGGTAGAGACCCGGCTGGGGGGAGGCGGGCACCTGCCCCTGAAAATCCGTGCCCGTCCGCATGAGGTAGCGGTGACGGAAGTCGGAGACCCAAAAAGATGGTCGGGAGTAGTTCTCATTCATCAACATGCGCCAATACTGTCGATTGTAGGAGTTCGTTCGTGAGCTGCTCCAGCGACGATTGAAATGCCGAATTTTTGGTGGGACGGGGTACGATTGGATCGTCTTCCGCTGCAGAAAAAGCGTGAGACGCAGCATGACGGTAACAAACCAAACAAACTACTACGCATGTGTGTGACGGTGGTGGAGAAAAACGAGACAAGCCACGTCTGTAGACGGAGGCTGTAGACCACACCCACGTATTCATTCACAGTGCAGAGAGTCCCCATCAAACGGCAATATGCAGCCACGTATCAGGCGACTGCCATTCAACGCAAGCCCAAACGAACAGCCTATTGAGAAATTCGTTCCAGAAAACAGTTACCCCCCCCCCCCCAAAAAAAAAAAAAAACATCAAGACATCCCTCTCCCTCTCCCCCATACTCGTCGACCACTCATCGCCCTCCATGTCCGGAGCAAAACACGGAACAGCTGGAAGAAAACAAAAAAAAAAAAAACAACAACTCGATCATCGCCACAGAGACAGAAGATTGCCACCAACGCCAGAGGTGTACGCCTATGTGCCGCCAAGTCAGATAAATGCAATATAATCCATGCGGAACGACAGGAATCTGCCATCGAAGCTCCAGTTGAGGCTGGAGGGTAAGTCTGTTGTGCTCCCCCGTAGCCCGCAACGTATCTGCGGGTGGCGCAATCGCACAACGGTCATACGCAGTGAAACTCGGCCTTTGTTCCGCACAGTCGGTGCCGCGCCCTTCCGTGCAGGAGGGAGCACCACCCCTTCCCCGAATCAAACCCCAGACTGCCTCTCCCAGCGAATTCCTTTTTTTTTCTTCTTTTGAACGAGAGAAGAAGAAGAAAAAAAAAGTAAGTAAAGATGCCACTCTTCTCTACCCCTTCCACTGACGGCGGTTAAGGACCTTCAAAAGATGTTATGACGGGTTTGCCAGACGTCGCCCCCCACACTGCTCTGGAAGTACCGAGGCGACCACCCAACTCCCAGCTGCTCTGCCCCGAGGACGGGAACAATCAGAAGGTTACGCGTCGCTCATCAGTGGGAACCGTGCAGCTAAAAAGTGAAACCAACCTAAGCGGCAACAACCACAATGCAATACAATAAAAAGGCATGGAGAAGCTTTTGGGGCAGAAGGAGGAACCACAGTACAAGGCTCGCTACACATTTCACCGGTTGCCTTCATTTTAACTAACATAGAGATCTCAACAGCCGAATATCTTACATGCCAATCTAATACATACCAGTCTATTCCTCTTACAAGAGGTTTTTTTTTTGTGTGTGTGCCTGTGAGTGACTATGTGACATAAACTAGCCATCGTCGAACAACAACAACGAAAAAAAAAAAAAAGACGCGAACAAAATCAAAAACTCTTTGGCGTTATGCTCAATAACTACTTTAATTTCGGCTCAGCGCGTTGCGTGCGTGAAGTGGTTGCTGACTCATGCTTGTGTGTTGCCCGGGAACCACTTGACTTGGTGTGTACCTTTCCCCCGTGGCTGTGTCATCACGTGGGTGATGGGCAGAGTGATGCATTGTGTAAATGCCATATTGAATGTCAAAAATGCTTCGCTTACTATAATCCTTGTTTACCTCGGCTTGCTGTAAGCGATCCATGTAGGCGTCGGAGTACTCTGTGCCCCAGTTACCCTTGTGTCGCATCATGTGTCTCTGGGACAGCGAGAGCACAGTTTCTTCGTGCGCAGGAGTCAAAGTGTGATACGTGCGAGGAAGTGGGGAAGTCGCGGAACGTCTGTTTGTTGCAGCCGCTTCAGCGACATCGTATGGGGCGTGGTAGTCGTGCGTCGTACTCATCCATTCTTGTGCGGACCAGGGCTGATACCCCTCTGGCAGCCCCTTAGTGTTCATATCCTTCATAGTGTCTTTTAACAAGCTTCTGTCCACATTTTTTCCCCGCTCAATCATCTTTGTTGTCTCTCCCCGTCGAACCGGACCCTCCTTTTCCACCAAATTGTAGCGGCTCTTGTACACGGGCACCAAGCCATCACCGTCAGGCGCATTCGGATCCCTTTGAGTCACCCAATACGAAGAAGGATCAATGCCGCTCATGTCACAGTAATCCCACGAGGTGGGACGGTAGTGATCAGGCACAGGACATTCTAGTGGCATGCTTTTCAAGCGATCGCGCTCTTTCGAAGAGGCCTCCATGTCTTCAATCCCCTTCGAAAGGGCGTCAAGCACTTCGGGATCAAATGTGCCTTTCCCAATGGTCCGATTCTGTGTCGTTGTCGTCTCCATCAAACGCGGTTTCGCTCCGCCGCCGGTGCCCTCAGCCGTGAGTGTGGCGCTGGCCTCCAAATAACGCAGTTGGGCGGCATTGAGCTGCGGCTTCACCTCTGAGCCGTCTCCTTTTAGAAGGTGGAATCCAACGTGTGTGTAGTCTAACGTCCGCGGCAGACTGGTCCTCTCTTCCGGAAAGGGAACGAGTTTCTTGTTGATCTCCATCTCAAAGGCATGGGGTTTCTTTCCGGCAACATCGTCAGGCTCACGCGGCGGCACCTCCCCCGTGGCTCCCCAGTAGGCACTGGAGGCAAACCCATCCTGAATGCGCGACGCGAGAAACTCCTTCACTGGGACACTGTCCGATACAGATTTCTGGGGGCCGAGTGTACCTAACGTCTGCGTGCCGCCCAAAGGCGTCTGCTCACCACCGTCCACCATGCTTACTTACAGTCCCACAATAAACACGGAAAGAAAGCCAAAAAAGCAGTGCGGCGGATGTATACAGGCAATTCGACGAACACAGACATAGAATGGAAAAAAAGAGAATAAAGAGGCGGAAGTTGGCCGCTCATTGACATCAGTAACAAAGTGGAACCATCCCCTCAAGTACCACAAATACATATATAGACAAATAGCGAGAGGGGGAAAACTGTGAGAAACTATACCTAAAATATTTGAGGCAAAACTCCACGCATAAAAATGAAGAAGAAAAATACAACTTTCTGTTAGTCCTTTTGATTTTTATTTTCTTCTCCATGTTTGCATTCTGCGTCATTGTCGTCGTAATTCTTGAAGCAGCTGCAATTGCTCTTCATGAAAAGCTGCTAGAGACAGTGAAAGATGCTCAATCTCGCGCAGGGCACGCTGTGCCTCTTCGCGGCGCCTCTGAACATGCTTCAACTCCAGCTCCAAAACACGATTACTCTCTTGCAGTGCGGCAAATCTGTCTTGCTCTTTTCCCACTTCACTTACAATCATGCTCATGATTCTTTCCATAGCGCAGCTGGCAGTTTCACCAGAATAGGTATGGGACTGAGCCTGATCCACGAGCATTGAGGAAGGGGCACTCGAAAAAGATGCGAAATGTGGCGTACCTGCATCAGTCACTGCCATCTCACTCTTGTCATGAGGCAAGAAGTGAGCTTGTGGGTTTGGCGGCCTAAAGGTGCCGGTGAAGGTTTGCTGGGCCCATGGGTTTGTGGGTCGCAGTGTTGGCGAAACATACTGGGTTGAAGAGGCTTGCGTTGCCCAAGTTGATGTCATCAAAGACACTATAAAATGTCTCTACGCGTTTGTTGCCTCGGTATATTTATATGGGCGTGTATATGTGTGCCTCATGAAAGTTTACAGACTCCAAGTGACACGTTCCCCCGAAAACCTTTACTTCCAGAGGGAAAACCAAACGATCACAAATTCTAAAACAGAAAAAAAATTAGCAAACAAATAAAAAGCAAACACTTAATAGTAAAAATAAAACAAGCAAATAATAAAATAATAATCTTTTCATACCCATTTAAAAAAAAAACGCACACACACACAGAGAGAGAGAGAGAGCAAATAAGTTTCTCAAACGTCATAGAGTACCAATTCACTTACTTCTCGCTTCCATTTCCCCTCAGCAAGTTTCTTTTCCCAAAAACACAACGAGTTGCTTTTTCACTCTCAATGCGCCATTTCAGACTCAGTTGCTTGAACTTTCGCCTTGTCCTTCTCGGGAACATAATTTAGTCGTGACAGCAATTCCCTGAGTTTCGAAGCGGCCATCGAGGCAGCAGAATCTCCCTTGGTTGCCGCCCGCAAGATGGCATCCCCAAATTCTTTTTTCCTCTGGCAAATCTCGTAACAGTACTGTTCAATGGTGTCTTCAATAATGATACGAGTAACATGTACATGCTTTTTTTGACCAATACGATAGCAGCGATGAACTGCCTGCTCTTCAATAGCAGGGTTCCACCACGGATCAACCACCAATACGTGATTCGCCGCCGTAAGATTCAAACCAACTCCAGTTGCTGTTTTGCTAGCAAGAATAACACGGACATCGTCACTTGTTTGAAAACGACGAATGACGACGTTGCGATTACTCAGTGTCATTGTACCATCCAACCGTAAGTGTGAAATCTCCAAACCATCAAGAGCCACAGATATCACATCCATAAAGGAAGTAAAATGTGAGAAGATAATCATTTTGTCATTGGGATAACCTTTCCTCATCGCATCAATAGAATCCAATATCATTCGTAGTTTCGTGCTCATCACCATTTCACGTTTTTTGAACTTTACAATACGTTCTGCGGAGGTAAGGGTGTTGTTTCTAAAAATAGAGCTGTTGGTGATAGTAGTTCCGCATGTAGGACAAGGCAGTCTTGCAGCCATATCCTCGCCATCAACAGCCTCGCGAAAACGAAAAAGAAGACATTCATGACAAAAACAATGGCCACATTTGGTAGTTACCGCCGACACCGCCTCGCTTTTACAAATGCCGCAAACAGCGACAGACAGTGCGCGGCCTTCGCTAATCCATGGATGGCAACAGGCTTGTCGCAAACGCGTCATCATGGCAAAAATATGAAAAGCACCTTCCCTGCGTTCTGAAGTCGCCAATGCTGTTCTTGAGCGAGCAAGGATACTGTTGTATTGTTTTGACTCTTGAATAGAAAAACGCTTCTTCACAACGGTTTCCGTTTTGGGAGGAAGGTCAACTAAAACTTCATTCTTTCCATTACGAATCATGACTGGCCCACGCCGCAAAAAAGCAGGTTGTATTGAACGAGCTATGCCCCGCTGTAAAACAGGATCATTAAGAACTTCTTCTGGATTACAGCCTGGAAGCAAAGGTAGGCGAGGTAAGCCAACAAAATGAAGAAGATTTTGAATATCTTCAATTGTGTTATGAAGAGGTGTAGCTGTAACAACCCACCGATGAAGTCCCTGTAATTCTTTAACCGCTCGCCAACGCTGTGTGTTAGAGTGACGAATCATGTGTGCTTCATCTAGAATAATGCGTTTCCATCTCACATGAAACAAAGGGCCCGCTTCTTTTCGGTTAAAGGACATATTCTTATCATCGAATATGGGTGTTAATGCGACTTGGGCAGAGTTTGTTAGGGTATCATAGGTAGTAACAACAAAGTCATACAATTCCAACTCTGTATTCGTAACTAATTTGTTTGTTCCGTGATACAAGAAAACCCTTATTCCGCGAGATGATTTCACTTTAGATTCAATTTCACTTTTCCATTGCAACATCAGAGCTGCAGGAACAACAACAAGGGTTCGAAGTTCCTTCGAATCAATCATATCAAAGGATCTTTTTCGTTCATCATCCAGAAACGCCATTGCTCTTTTTCCATACGAAGGATGAAATTTGCTAGCAAACGTAAGCCATTTGTCAACTTCTTGACGAACAGAAGCCATTGCCTCATCACTCTGAATTGCATTCTCTTCGACTTTGCTCATTAAAGATCGAAGCTCCATGGCTGGACGATTGATCCTTGAACAATTTGCAACAATACTTATGCGTTGTAGTTGTCGAATAACAGTGAGCAAACGATAGCTATTAGCTTTCGATTGCATTTGCCGATGAAGGGTTTGATTGACAGCTCTGTTAAAATGTTGTGAAGACAGACACAAACCAATCATCTGTACAGTTTTTCCCATTCCCAAGTGATCTGCCATGATCCCTCCAACGTGATCGCGCTCTCGCTGCACCATCCAGTAAATACCCTCTTTTTGAAATGGGAGAAGCTTTGTCGCCAAATCCGGAACATCGAGAGCACCAAAGTCGTCATATTGCAGGGAGGAATAAAATCCTTGGACAGGTGCTGGGTCATTCGTCGGAAGAGAGGCCGGTTTAACAAGTCGTGAGAGAACTGTTACCCTAAAGAAGCGGTGTCCACAAACCCGCATTAAAATTACCGTAAGGCTAGTCGACGAAGAAGAGAATTGCAAATAGAAGAAAGAAATGAAAAGAAAAGCAGAGAAAAGTAATACCCAGAGCACAATATAATACTAAATAAACAACGATAAGAAAAACTTTCTGTTAAATGTAAGAAAAAATACAAGGGAGAAACAAGATCAAAAAGCTTTTCCTTCTCCTCCTCACTCCGAAGTTTTCATTCATACACATATATTAATGGATATATACTGAAAAATAAATTAAGGAATCAAATCTCACACAGACGCAAACAGGGAATAAAAATGCTGTTAAAAGCATCGTGCGATATTGTTCAAAAGGGCGGAAAGCAACTTAAACTTTGGTTTGTACTGTTCAACGAAGACATGGCATTATCAATTTTTTCTTTGGCCAAACAATCAGTCGCATTCCGCAGAAATTTCTCTAAAAGACTGCGATCCCCCCCAGACTCTTCGGGTAACTCAATTGTACACCAAGACGTAGAAATATTTTCTTCCCAAACAGAGTTGGGCATCGTTTTCCGAGCTGAGGAAACAACCGACTCTTCACAAAAGTTTACCTGAGTGCCCCCCAAAATGCCGCTAAGTATGGGCATATTTCTCCGTTGAAGCTGGATACATTTTATCAATTTTTTTACCATTTCCTCGGACCGAAGTCCACCTAAAACGCAGCTAGAAAAAGATTTCGATTGAACTTCGATTTCCTCACTAGAAAACACCGCTGTTGTCCGAGTTGGATTTACAAAAACATCTTCTTGACGCACCAAGGGAGATCTTTTTTGCCGTTGTGGTGTAAAAACCTGAGTAAAAGTTAATCTTTGACGTGTTTTCCGCGAACTCTGCCACAAAGACTGACATACATCCAGCAAGTGGTAGTGACGAGAAGTAGGATAAATAAAAGTATAGAATCGAATAAGCTCTTTAAATAGTTTTGACATAACCTCAGCGGAAAACTCTACACCAGACTTCGTAGTCGGCTCGCTCGAAAAATGGAGACCAAGCGAAGATTTTAATGCTACAAATAGACAAATTGCCGCAAATTCCCCGGAGGTTCCACCACAAAGAATATGCAACTCCGTAGGCGAAAGTGTAGATTCCATATTGGTATTACCTCCATTTATTAGTCTAGTTAAATCTGAAATAAGACATTTGCTATACTTAATAGCCTCCATAAACAATGTCTCCGCAGTCAAGATCTCATCCTCTAAAGGATTGACCCTATCAGGCAAAAGTTCAAGAAAAGTGGCACACCATATGCGCCATAACAGTGTATCCTTTATAACACAGTTTGCTTTGCTAAATTCATTAACGAGGAAGTTCGTGAACAAGAATTCAACATCCACTTCTTCATTCTGCTGTATCTGCATATTCTTATAGCCAACACTTCGTAAAATCATCCATGAAACCCTCTCTCCAAGAGAATGCAGTCCTTGAAATTTATTGAATTCATTCCAAATAGTCTCCTGACCAAATACGATAAGTTTTTTTTCTGTGCAATGCATTTAGCAACATAAGTCTTGGTATCTAGCCAACTTCTTGATATTGGGCTTCCTCCGACACGAAAAAAGCTGTTGAACCAACCATCAAACACAGAAATCGATATACACGCGCCACATTCTTCAAAAACAAATGATTGTATCAATATGGCCAATATCGTTGCAATAAATGCCCGTTTAGGAGGCTCCAAAGCGACATTAGAACGGGCAAATGATGCCGGAACGCTCCTCTCCTTAATTAATTGATAATGATGAGCTGTAGAACCTACTTGCTGCGCCAGGGAAGGTACTAAATCTTCTAAGCTGTACACTTCTATGCCCCGCTTTCGTTCCTTCTCGGCCTCAAGTTTTGACGGTCGCACGTAATAAACCTCGGCAAGTTGTGTAGCAAATCGGCCTTGAGGCCGTGCTTGTATACTATCTAGCTCCCGTTCTTCTTCCCTAAGTCTTTTTAATGGATTTGAGCGATCAAATTCAAAATCGTCAAACATGTTCTATGTATCTATAAATAGAAAAAAAAACAATAAATTCAAGAACCGTGAGTATTAAATATTTTTGATCCATACCGAGTTTTTTCGATGGACTCCCGGTAAAAAAAAACCGGGCGCGAAGGACCCATTCGAAACAACGACAGTAGGAAGAAAAGGAACGAAAAAACACCACCAGGGCAGGACCACCTACGAGTGCAATCCTAAATCACGACAGTTCTCACCCGCCCTTAGCGCGCCACCAGGCAGCGGCCCCCGCAAGCGCGGCCGGCCCGATTCCCACCGCGCGGCGGCGTCCTGCACATTTGTCGGTCGAGGCGGTCGGGAGACCCGCCAGGCTTCAGGCGGAGCGCGTTTTGTTTTTCTGTTTGGCCGTCCTCGGGCGCAGACCCACGCCAACGAGAGCCGCGGCGCGAGCGCAGCGGAGTTGTCTGGTCCGACTTCCTGTTTCCTGACTTTGTGGCGGTGTGGTTATTCTTTTTTTTTCCTTTCACCTTATTTGTTGGTTTCCCCTTTTATGGTCGCCCGAAGGCGACATGGTGGGCCTCTATTGTTCCTTTTCTTTTCTTGCCTTTCTAACTCGCTAGCTTACAGAAAGGCAAGGAGTAGCAGGGAAAGAAA